CATTTCCAGTGTATCTGTAAAATATAGACTTGGTTACCCACAAACTTCCCCTGACCCCCATTTTCCATCCCAATTTCATTAAAAAAAAAAAAAAAAAAAATCAGCTCAGAGCTGCAGTGCACTCAATTTGAGCACCCCATCTCTTCTTGCATGGCTGCATGAGATGTGTTGCACAACAAAAATATAGAGGTGTGTCAACTATTAATCAAAAAAAGATTTTACCGGGGTTACCTTCTATCCAAAGGGTGTAGGTAGGGCTAGCTAGCTAACTGCATGTTACAATTGATGATGCGAATGAACGCTCTTCAATTCTTCTATGACAGGGGAAGGGCGACTCATGCAGGACACCCAATTATGTCACTGGGCCTGTTTTACAGACGTGCAAAAATAAATAAAAAAAATAAATAAATAAAAAAATCAATCAATCAATAAATAAAATCACTGAAATGGTGAAATAATTGAGTTTAAAGCTATCACCTCCATAAGTGAGATATATTCTCACTCGAGCACCCGGAGTAAACCCACGCAGGCACGGGGAGAACATGCAAACGCCACACAGCGAGGCCGGGGCCCGGAATCGGACCCTGGACTTCTGCACTGTGAGGCAGACGTGCGAACCAGTCGCCCACCGTGCCGCCACGTGAGACCCATTCAAGGTGAAATTTAGAAAAAGAGATAAAATGTTTGAATCGTGACTGAATATCAACAAGACTGAAAATAGATCATCGGCGGATCATCAGAAGATTCGGAAGGCGGATTTAAGCGTGCGTTAATGGCTGTATCGGTCCCCGTGGACTGAGGCTTAAAGGGCTGAATAATGCATGTGCGCTGCAGAAGTAATGAAGTGGAAGTGATCGGGAAGAATACGACTGTCCTCCCAGGGCTCAACGCAAACTGTACGCACTCTTAAGAGCTGCCTGTAGCCTAAACCTCCCTCTCCGCCTCTGTCTGTCTCACTTCTCGTCCTTCTCACACATACACACGGCAACGTACTGCGCGGCGGCTAAGAGGGTAAGCTTGTCTCTGTTCCCATATGCTACATCATTGATGAGGGAAGACGGGGCATTTATAGTATCCCGCTCAAGAGTTCAGCAGCGCGCACCGCTTCCACGAGGATCCCCTGGGACGAGGATGACAGGAAGCAGTAGATATCGGCGGTCACACTGTGTTGGCGGCCTTATTTTTGTGGACCACATCAAGTCAGCTTTGCTGTGGAACACCAGGAAGCCTTACTTAGTGACCAACGGTTCGTTTATACCTCTACCTGGTCCCTATTTGCTTTTCCTTCCAGACCCCCCCCAAAAAAAAATCACCTTCTTCAGTCACAATCTCCCCTGACTTGTTAACATCCCAAAGGATGTATGACATCTATTAAAAGCAAGGACTTTTGAACACTCGTTACGGTCACACGAAGTCAAGTCACCCGCGCTCATATCTGGATTGATTGTGATTTGGGGGTCTTTGAAGGAAGCAAAAAAACAATGACAGTAGGGATGCGAAAGAATGTAAAGCTGGAGTCATAAAACATGACGGCAGCAGATTCGGAGAAGGAAGATGTTTCCCATCAAGCGACTAATTCCAGAGAATTGTTTGCTGTTGTCAGCTGCAAAGATTTGCGGTCAATGCCTTGTGTCTCATGGCTGGCTAAATACCACTAGCTTGTGGCAATGCAGAATCCTCAGTCGAATGCGAATAAAACACTTAGGACGAAGCAGTGTTTTTTTCCGTTATTAGGGATGCAGCGATACAACTTTTTTCAGACTGAGCACAAGCCGCAGCACGTACATTTGAATACTCTCTGACACTAAGGACCAGTACTTTCCAATGCCATTTCGTCTGGCAATGGTGATGAAACTGTGTTTTCATCCATTTTCCTATTCGCTTCTCCTCACGAGGGTCACGGCTATGCTGCAGCTTATCTCGGCCGTCTTCGGGCAGCGGGTGGGCGACACCGTCAACTGATTGGCGTCAATCGCAGAGCGCACACAGACAAACTACCATCCACTCTCACGATTGCACCGAAGGACAACTGAAAGAGAATGTGGGAGGAAACCGGAGTACCGGGAGAAACCCCATGCAGGGACGTGTCAACTCCACACAGGAAGTCCAGGAGTGAAGATTCGAACGCATGACCTGAGCGCGGTGAGGCGAATGTGCTCACCAGTCGACCCACCGTGCCAGTTGGAAGTGGAACTTTCAAGAGTACCAACTTACTCAGGTCCAAGCTCTGGCAACATGTTTTGTTTATTTTGAATGTTGTGACTAACTCAGAGGAAGCTAGGGAAGAATGATTCATGGTGACAATCACCTGATTTATCGTAGCATGCTGGTCCGAAGCAAGGAGTGCATTTTTTTTTTTTTTTTTTTTGGAGCGCTGCTTGGCCACTGACATATACGATCCCCACTTTCCAGAAACTGTCAAGCTCTCTAATTTGTGGAGTGCCGTCATCAAAGTGAGGCTATCGCTAAAACCCAAACAGACACCAAGGGCCCAACAAATGTGACTCAGTGCTTCCAAGACATAAAAACTCAGGAACTAATTGTTTTTTTTTTTTTTTTTCCAAACAAAGGAACAACGTCATGTGCTCGGTCAAGTGACAAAGGCCTCAAGCAGACCTCATTACAAGTCTGATTTGAAAAAGAACAAGGGCAAAATGGGTGACTGTCGTAGAAAGTCTGCCCTGGATGGATTGGAAGTCACATACAAACAAACAAATGCTGATCAAAGTAAACACGGCCACCAGCATGGACGCCACCATTTGAATCAAAACATGTTGGAAAAAGAGAACGCCACCGACTGGAGAAGGGTGGAATAGAAGGTTTCGTTCTATGCATATACAAGTCTCAATCATCTCAAGTATTTCCGGTATTGTTCCGAGGAGCGGGCAAAATGTGGAGGTGGGCCATTTTCGGCCCGCGGGCCTGGATTGGGAAGCACCGGTGTACATTGTTGGACTTTGATTTCTGCCCTACATTGACGAAAGTAACGCCATATGTAAGTGGAAGGGAGAAGAAAGCAGCAGGAGTGAAACGTGACCCAAACTTATTTTGATCTTCAAAGTTAAAACCAAACAAACAAAAGAGACAAAGCTTGATTTTAACAGTGAACAGCTGCTCTTTGGGTTCCACTCCAGCCTGTTGGTAACGCATAAAGTGCGTGGCAGCATCAAAAAGCAGACGCATAAGGATCAGAGATTTATAATGATTAAAACAAGAACCACTATTGGACCTGTTTTACAGATTTGCAGGAGAACCGTTTCTTGTTTGGAAATAACCAAAACCGTGGCAGAATTTTGGTGCTAGCTTGCGCGCAACCCAACCAAAATCTCTTCCTACCCATGATGAGAAAATCGTTCGCACTTCTTTGGTTGGCTGGCCCAGCCGGCCACTTGAGCTTGATTTCCAAGGAACGAAAGCTCAAAATGAGACAAAGGCTCAAAAAGCATCTACTTGTTAAACCGCGATTAAAGTTGCATAGATGCCAGACTTTCAGGTAGAAACGATTCAAATGCGGGACTCTGTGATTGAAGGAACTTGTGATTGGAGTTGTTTGGGCCTCTCCGGCGAGCGACATGCACGGTTGCCTTGCCGCCGCCCTCCTCTCACATTAACATGCTTCTATCATTAAGCCCATTGTCCCACCTCCTGCATAATAGCTGGCGCGGGATGCGCGGCGGGTAAAATAAGAATGCGGTTTTCCCCGTCCTCCTCCCACATGGCGCATTCTTGAATGAAAGATTGATGTGAGGGGAGCGCGATCAGAAAGATAGAATCACGGTCTAACGAACGCAGGGGCTTAAGAAATATATATATTTATGCTTACTGGAGAAAATTCCATCAATTTATAACGACACCGTATATTAATATATAAGTAGCCCACTGAATATTCAAAAAGAGAAATAAAACGTACGCTTTGAATGGTCTTTGTGTATAGGAAGCCGTCATGGCCTCTCGCAACTTTTCCCAATAGATCTGACCAAGGGGCCACTCATGTTCATTGTCACGAGCTAAACAAATTGCCATTGTCTTGGAGTGGCATCCGTTTTGTGCAAAGACGCGCGACGACGGCGCACGGAGAGAACTTCATTTCCGAGCTTTGAGCACAGATGAGCGCGGAGACACTTAGTCCGTGTTCACGATATGAGCACCTTTCAAGAGACAAATGGAATGTCAATCAAGGGAAGGTACGCAGATGCAGCCTCGCCCCCTCCCCTTCCTCCGGTGGGGCCGAAGACGCGTTCTGGTGATGCGGCTCTGTTGTTCCTGCATTACTCTGGTTGCACTGGGAATATTTTGGCCTTTTACCCCTTCGTATCCCCTTGCTCCATTCTGGAGCCATTTTTCCTGCCTCCTTTTCAAAAAATTCGATACTTTTGAAGTTTCCCTTACACGTGTGTACGTGAGATCCTGCATGAGCCAGAAATAACACAATTAAATAAATAGCTTCTTAGGGCAATTTATATTACATGGGCGGTGGGGGGGGGGGGATCTTTATCTGAAATTGTGACATTGTGAATATTCCACCATTGAGTAAAACGCGGCCGAGTGTGAAGTTGATCTAAAACTGCTCAAAACGTTTAAGGCTTTATTATTAAAAACATGACAAGTCATTCACTTGGTAAATGTGCTTACTCAAGGGAATGCTGGCTGTTTATTCTTTGATTAATTTGCTTACAGAGGGGACAAGAAGCCCCCCCCCCCCAGTCATGAATGTGTTGATGACAGGGAGATTTCTCCATGGTGACAAGTTATCTCAACTACAGGGGCAAAGCGATTATGCTAATACCAGGTTGTAGTCATCACGTCAAATCAATGTGTGTGTTGATTTTGGAAAAGGGAATTGATGCCATTCTAATTACGCCCAGAGCGGTTCCTTATTCTTGAGTAAGAGCTAAAGTAAAGAGCATCGGTTACGCGAGTGTCTTCCCGTTGGCGTGAGTGACGCGCTCCGGGTACGGAGTGACGTCACAGAAGCGCCTCTTAAATTGCAGGAGCGCTACGGGAGGGGGGGTTCTTGGTTGGATCTCCCCCTCGTGCGCTCGCAGGGGCGCACTCGAGGCTGTGACACTTCAGAGAGCGCGGAGCATCTGCGGGGGACCGGGGGATATTACCCCCCCCCCCCCAACTCTAATTATCGCCGTTTCGAAAATGAAAGTGGTGCGTAAAAACGTCTGTTTGCTGTGCGTAACAGCCAGCGACAAACTTTGGATTAGGCAATAGATGGAACTCAAATTCTCTATTTTATGACATTTGTCAGTATGCCTCTTTAGGTTTGGACAAACGTCAATAGTCGACTTCTTGACCGCCCCCTCCCTTTTCTTTTCTTTTCTTTTCTTTTTTCTTTTGACAAAAGCTTTTTCTTATCTTAATTCAGTCATGGCTTACTCTCAGCTGGGATACTCCTACTCCACTCCACCACAGGTACAGTGTTTTCATTTACATTACGACAGAAACAACTGTTGATGTTTTACCATTTGCCAGAGGATAAACTTGACGATTATGCAAATGATTTTCGCACTTTTTTTTTTCCCCGAAGTTTCTGATGACCGCGAGCCCCCTCGCCGGCTGTCTGGAGCCCGGATCGCCGCCGCCGTCCCACCCGGCGCTGCGCTCCGCGGGCCACCAGCTCACCTCTGGCCACAGCATCGGCGTTTGCAGCCCTTACGCAAAGCGCCAAGCTTACTATAACACCTGCGCTGGCGACGCCACATCTCTCTATTCGAGAGTGAGTGACATGCTGACTTTTGAAAATTGAACACAGCAGCCACTGATTAAGTGGGAGGAAGGACGGAGCTCTGGGAATCGGAAAGTGGCTGAAGAAGCGTGCAACTCGCATCTGAATGGCTTTCGGAGTTTGATTCTGCGTTTGATGCTGAATATGTATCGACTGTAATTGCAGGGACCACTACAGCCTAAAGGGGCGGCTGCATCAGTGCACATGGGGACCTCTCAGACAGCTGCCTGCTATCCTTATGAATACACGATCGGCCATTATTCTTACGACAGATATGGGTAAGGATGATTTTTATTTTAAAACTGCCATTTAAAAAAAAAAAGGTCTTCTTTGGTTCAGTCAAAGCTGTAATATGTAATTGGATTGGCCCCAAATTGCACTGCACTTTTACATGCACATTACACCCGAGGGGGCTGGGGGTGTGTGTGTGGGGGGGACGCGGGGGGATACAGGTATTGTATGCTCACCCCGTATTGTATTTGAGTTTCACTGTCAGGGCAGTTTTGATGGTGTGATGTCAGTGCAAAGCTGTTCTTATCACAACGAGAGTCGTTGATTTATTATTTTTTTTGACGTCCTCTCACATAGCTAAAAAAGGTAACGAATAATAGAAAAACTTGCCAATATGATTCAGTGTACATCCGTGCCACAGTTCAAAACGGAGATAATAATAATGCAAATATCGATGTTTGAAGAAACGCGTCTATCTTGTGCAATTGTACCAAAAGAAAGGCACGCCACAATATTACCATTTTTTTTCCCCTAAAAATGCATGTATACACACTCACACACACAGAGGAATTGATTCCACATTTTTTTCCCCCCAAAGTGTTTGCCACACTCTAATTAATGATTCTTCAATTGTTCAGTTACTCCTCCTCAGAAGGAGCTTCACGGCGTAAAAACGCGACCCGGGAAACGACCGGCACCCTGAAGGCCTGGCTGCAGGAGCACCAGAAGAACCCTTACCCAACGAAAGGAGAGAAGATCATGCTGGCCATCATCACCAGGATGACCCTCACCCAAGTGAGCACAAACGACAGCGCCGCTTCATGACAACTTGCTTTGCGTCTTTCAAGACACATCCAGCAGTACTATTCCACGCACATAGGGGCGAATGCTCGGACTCCAAAAACCACAGTTTCTACCTCGACTTGTTCAGGTGTCGACGTGGTTTGCCAACGCCCGCAGGAGGCTGAAGAAGGAGAACAAGGTGACGTGGTCACCGCGAGCTTGTAAAAGCTCAGACGATAGAGGCCGCGACGAAGACAGCGACGAAGCAGAGAAGTCACAGAAAGGAGACAAAGACCATCCAGGTAAGAGCTCCTAAACGGATTCTGCTTTGATTAAAAAAATAAACAAATAAATAAATCGGCTCTTTTTGTGAAACTTGGATACGATTGCGCTTCCCAGATCAACAATCTGCCGACCTGCAGAGCGATCTTGAAGACTTTGACCTCTTGGAGTCCGACGCGTCCGACTGCGAACCGAAGCCGGCGTTTCTACGGGAGGACAACGAAGTCGATTCAAACGTTCCACCCGGTCACCTCGCGTACAACCCGGAGCCGCTGCACAGCTCAGACAGATTGTCTCCGGACTTCTCGAAAGTCACGGCGGTTCGAGACCAGAACGCCTTCTTTTCAATGCCAGATGTGCACGGGACGGAAAACAAAGCCAAAATCTGGTCCATCGCGACCACGGCAGCGTCTCTGGATCCCGGCTTGGAGCCAGAATATCCGCCCTGCATGCTGGCGACCGGCTCATCCTCTCCTCCCGGCTTTCCGTCCAACATGGCGCTGCCTAAAGCGGACGGGAAGCAGGAATCACCGGTGGACACGCTCAGGGAGTGGGTGGACGGCGTTTTCCATGCCGCGCCATTCCATCCCGCAAAGGCTTCCGCCGCGCCATGGAGCGCTTTGAATGACGCGGCCGTGAGTGGTGGAGCACAAGGACAACCGTTCGCACTCGTGAGATCAACCTCCTCTTTGTCGTAGTCAAGCCAACGCTGACATTTTCAAAGGCTGCTGGACTCGTGATGTCAAGTTTATACTTTTTGGTGTTGTGACCGATTTGGGTCTTCACAAGAATCCACATTGTTGTCGTTGTGTATCACCGCAAAGATGCCCCGGGGGGTCAGATGAGTCACTTTGATGGCCCAAAAGAATCTTATCATTTGTTGATCTTGTTCATGACTTAAAAGTTTGCCGCACGTTCCTATCACCATAACAGACATGCCCTGAGATGATTAAAAACACTACGACTGAATATTTCCCAGTTGAGTCACTGCAGAACATGAATCCCGAAAAGATCTTGGTCGACACTCAAAGTCACACGATCCGGAGGGTTCTCGGATTCACCGAGCATCAACCGAAGACGCAAGAACATCTTCCTGCCCTCACGTACACCAACGGCGCCCACATTGTAACCTCTCGCACTTTCTGCTTGACGCGCACAAATGAAGCCACAAGAATAAAACGTTCAATCTAGTGCCGTGTACCCGCACGTGAGTTTCCCAGTATCGTCGCTCAGTTTTGTCAATCCTCTAAAAACAATGCGGTCCGTAGCTCGGCGGCAGAGTACGCGCGCATGTGTGTGCGTGTGTGTGTGTGTGTGTGTTTATGCACGTGTGCATGGTTCAAGGGAGTGAAATGGGGGGAAGTGGGTTGTATTCAGCCGTGACTAATGGAAACACACAGAGGAGGGTGCTGCTAAATTGTTAAATCGATGCCACTTCCAGGCGAGCTCCAGATATAGCTGCAATCAGCCATGCGTCCCCTTTCATTAGGCATCTTTTGACTTTGGCATCCTGGGAATTGCAGACAACGCTCTTGCCACTAAAAGGCCTCATAAAACTTAAGTCATTTTAAGCGAGTGCCGCGCCGCGCGCTCGGTGGTGGTATGCGTCGCCGCTTCAGTGAGTTTGTGCCACAATCAGACATGATCGAAATAAACAACGCAACGCGGATGGCGTCGTCGACATTAGACGGAGTATCGGCTTAAAATTTGGTGGGGGAGTAAAAAAAAACTGTCAAGTTTAGCACTCAAAGCAATTAAAGTCGCGTTTTTTTTTTTTTTTGTTTTTGTATTTTTTAAACACAGCACAACAAGAAACAGTTCCCCCCCTCCACCATTGTTCTCTTCCCGTTTTCGATTTCGGAGCGGTGATAAAGTATTCATCAGAACAGAGGAGGGATCTTCCCAGGCTTTGTATGGAATTAACCATTTTACATTCAATAATTCAGGACGAATTCATCCGAGAATTTCCTTCTCTTTCTGCTTCATAAATAAATAAGACTCAAGATGATAAATAATGACATCTGACTTCTTATTTTTGTAAAGTTCTCTTCCCTCGGCTGGTTGACAAAGCCTCGTTAAGCGCGAGGCAAATGGTTATCATTCGCGCGGTTTTCGCCTCCCCTTCCCTCAGCTCGCACGACGGCCGGCCGACAGAACGATGATGAATTTCAAAGAAGACTTGAAAAGAAGAAGTGGAGTTCTGACGGCTATCACATGGCAGCCAGATAAGAGGCTGACCCTCTCCTGAGTGGGGTTAAGAGCTCTTGAGTGCACCCTCGCCTTGCACTCTCTCCTGCGAGAGGCGGAACTTTCCTCTTGAGAACCAAAGTGTTTTTCGCCATTTACTTAAGGGCGCCGAAAAGCAATCTGAAGACAGCGACTTAAAACAAGGGGAGAGTCCCATTTTCAGTCGACTCTGATCAAAATTGAGAAATGCGTGATAGGGCTGAGCGAAGTCAGTGAACAATTGGTGCACTTACCTTACGGTGACTTAGAATTGCATTTTGAAAAGGGTGCGCCGGCCGTAAAAGTCAACATTGCCTAATTTTTAGTCTGCAAATCATTCACCCGCGGATGCAAAGTTGTGTTTTCTTTGCTTGTGAAACGGCTGTCATCCTTCTCACGTTGTGATTCGTTGCACTGACCTTTCACACTTCCTCCAGGTGTCGTCGGTGGGTCTTGGCCTCTTGCGCTTTACCTTCGGTGACCCCCTCCCGCCCCCGCCTCGTCCGTCCTCCTGGCATCCGTCACCTCTCCATTGTCTGCTGTGGAAACACACGCGAGACACTCAGCAGTCAGCCTGACATGAAGCGTTGCTCCCTGGGCCATAAAATGTGATTAAGCCACAGTGAGTTGCGACACAGGTTGGGAGATGTTCGAGCCACTGTTTATTTTTCCGTCTCACACCACCTCTCCCCTGTGGATTAGGTCGTGAGTGACACGGAGGCAAATCAAAATTATGAAGGCTTGGTTTGAATTGCATTGCTGCTTTGGTTTACTTCTACGTACCTTTCCCATTGAAATGAATGGAAATGCCATTAATTTATGCCAGCCTCGCCCACCCTCCCCACCCCTGAAAAACATTTTTTTTTTGTTGTTCAATGTTTTTAAATGAAAATTGCAACATTGCATTCTAAAATACGTGTCGAATAAAATGAAATGACGCTGTCATACTTGAGCGTACCGTTTCTTTAAATGCTGACGTCTCCTCGAGCGCTCTCTCGTCGCTGCAGTGCAGCTCCGACTGAAGAAAGCTTACCTAATCAACGAGAGCTCAGTGGACGCCGCGCACTTTCCAGGGTTTCTTAATTACACGACTCCCTGCCAGTTTCAATTTCTTCTAACGCACACGGCCAGTTCATTTACAGGGGAAAAAAAAAATGGATGCACCTAAAACGCGATGTGCGTTTATGCAGCGCGACAGAAATGACAAGAGAGCGTCAAGAAGCATCGCTCGTGAACCCAAACGACGATTTGCTTGACGGCCTTGTTTGTAAATTAGATGTGCAAGTCCAGGTTTCACCGTACATAAGTGGCGCCGTCGACATGCCGTGACCCAGTTTTGGTGAGCACGTCATTTCAACGCTGCAAAATATTGGCAAGTTGAAATGACTCCTGTCCACACCTTCTGTCATTTCCCTTCCACACGTGCAACGGCTGGCGCACATCGACACGGCTCCAAGTCTCCTGTGTCTCGTCGCGCGCACACTTTGGTTTTTCCGAGACGATCAAAGTGCCGAGTGCAAACTCGCTCCTCGAAAAACTGTCACATGTCGCCCGAAGTGTCTGGCACGCCGCAGTTACCCTCTCAGCTGCTGGCAGTAGAACAAGTCATTATTTCCACGCTCAAAAGGTCAGATGCTCCGTCACCTGACTCCAAAGCGGAGCTCAGACGAGTCGCCCCAAGACAATGACCAAAGGTCGTTTTTTTGTTTTGCCGCCTTGTACAATGAGCGTGGATGTGAGGACAGGCTGCTCCTAGATCTGCCTAAGGAGACCCCAGTACCATTTTTTTTTTTTTGGGTCACCAGACAGGGAGGTTCAGATAATTGGCTGCAGGCAGCTTCATAATGAGCCGAGGGGTTTGTAAAATGACACATCTTCGAAGGGAAATATTTTAATGGGGCAATTACAGCGATGAGGAGAATGTTTTGCACAGAGTGAGGGATTGTTTTTGTTCAGGAACTCGCTGGCATTTTACTTCATGATCTATCGAGGACTTTTTAAATATAACAGCAGGCTCAACTGATTGGATCTTTGAACGGTCTGCTCTAATAGTGCACACTCTCATGACGGGCATCGAGTTGAAATGATCCTTCCGGGAGTCAAGATGGCGGAGGTGACCGATGACCACTTCGCCTTTGTTTGGAGAGGGCACTTGACAGAAGCCGGCTATGTTGTGGGCTTCGTTTAGGAAGATTAAATAATTAAAAAGTTAAAATCCCGCTCGAAAGTAAGTCAGCGTCGTTTCATTCGGTGCGATTCATATGCTCAGTTTCATCCGAGAGATTTTGCCCCTGGCATTGCCTACAACTCAACCAAGCGCCACCTCCGACTACTCCAACCAGTCAACTCTGACATGAACCGGGCTTCCCTGTCTCATTTCGAACAACGCGCCTCTCCCCCGCACGTCTTCACTCATCCACAGCAGTCTGACTATAGATGAGGTTAACTACAAGCAGAAGCCTCACTTCCACAAGTCACCGGGGCCAATTATATCAGCCTGACTACCCCCCACCCCAACCTGAGCTCTATGGTGTGGAAAATGCAGTTCCACCGGCTGCATCACTGGGGACAGAGCAGACTAGTGCTGTCTGGAGTGCAAGTGCGGGCCAATTTGGCATGCAGAGGTCTGTGGAGAATAAGCTTGATGAAATATATATTTGATCTTCTTCAAACATGCATTGTTCCGCACTGCTGTGTCTCATCTCTCGCCCCCGATGTCCTGCAGTTTCAACGGAGCAGTGCAGATTGTTGGCAAGAACTGAACAAAGTTTTTCAGAGCCCCTTACCGGCAGAAAACACGCTTATACCCCATACAAAGTCGTTTGGAATTGAAGAAAATTTGCCAGCAATAAATGGCTAACCATCAAATTACCTTTAGTTTGATAGCCTGCACAGCGGTGATTTCCAAACGGAAAACCTACTCGGTTGCATTCATTTAAAAATGATTTTTTTTCACATTAGAAATACATGATTTTTCATCTTTCTACGTCTGTAACGTATAATGAGACAGAACAATGATATGATCCTCCATTAGGTAGCAGAAGGTAGAATAACCTTGGACTGTATATCCATCCACCTGTTGCCATACATATAACGGAAAAGGTCACGGCTTCCCACGAGTAAATCGGCTTTGTGGTTAATTAAACCGGTTCAGATTTCACAGGGAGTACATTTGTCAGTAAATTAAACACAATCTCATCATTTCAGCATTAATACTTGCTGTGTTACATTTTCTCTTCTGGTTGGGGGTACCGTGAAATTTCTCCAACGTAAAACGAGGGCTGCCTTGACTCAATCAAGGTTGGGAAACACTGGTGGAAAGCACTGCCCAACATAACGAACAATGCTGACACCTGGTGGCCGGCTATGCGAACTGCATTACTCAGAAAACCGTGTGGTGGGGCGGGGGAGCTTCAGAGTTTGTGTATCGCGTCGTTGTACGCTACTGGAGTCCTTACCTGATTCAATGTAGAAGACAATTGTTGTAATTCGTTCTTTCGATCATATATTTCGATTAAATATCCACCGACCCGCTGGATAATGGTTGGAACACGACTAGGCCCAGCGAGCGGGCAAGAGTCACCCACCCACAAGTGCCCTCCTGGGCCACACTAGTACGACCAAAATCTACCCAGCCATTCTCCACTTGGCTTTTCATGTTTAGGATTTTGGGGATGCTGAGCCTATCCCTGAACCGCTGAGAAGTGAACCCATGCTGCCTGTACCAGCACAGGTCAGGCAAACTTAACGACACCATCATGATTTCTGACCACACTACAGACTAATAATTTTGATTTACCTGTAACATGAATTTTTTTCCCCTGCCAAGAAAATGCCAAAGTGGGGAATAAATGTCCATGTTACCAATAAGGTACCCATTAAACGAGAGCACAACATCATCATTCCAGGGAGGACAGGGAGAATTAATACATGGACTTTAAATTGGATATCAAAGTGCACACTGAATAAATGCTGAAACGGCTTTCCATACCACCAAGCGTGGAGAGGGAAGGAGGGGGAAAAAAACACTTTCATGAACGTAGATTATAATTTATTAACTATTACTGCAAGTTACACAGTGAAGCAAAGGGACAAGCGCTAATTCAGTGATGGTGCTTCTGCTTGAATTGTAATCCACAGTAGCCACATGTGCCCACTTTTGTGTCTTTATCCTGAAAAGAGACCCAAAACAATAATCAGTATGGTTACGCCTCGCACATTTGCATTTATTATGGAGCTGCACGTTTGAAAACGATTACACTTCATAAATACCGGATGTAAATCCGCATAAGAAAACTAGCGACGGTTCTCTACCCAATTAAATAGATAAAAAGGAAATGAGTGTATACTGTAATTGCAGAGGTGTTTGTCAACCCCACTGACCAGAGTTAAACAAAACAGAACCAAAATCTCTGGCAGGAATACTCACCAGTCCTTGGAAAAATATTTCCTCTGTGGCTATTTTCAAAAGAAAATGTCTTCCTGGGCCGTTCATAAAAGTTGCGGAATTTATTCAGAAAACTGTAGGAGTCCACACCCACACTTACCAACAAGTACCTTGTGTTCAACATACGCTTGATTGAATTTAGAGACATTTCAACAGTTGTTTCTTGGAAATATACAATTGTCAGGACTATATTTTGGTGATGGCAATATTGCCCAGTCAGGAAATGTCTGTATATTTTGAAACATTTCAACAATGGAAAAGAGCAGCAACACAGGTTACTTCCTGATGGTACATTTGAGTACCAATGAAAAAGGTCGCTCAACACTAGAGACACATCCTCTTTATTTGCTTTCTCAAATTCTTACCAGGTTAATATAGACTTTGGGGTGACCGAGTGCTCCACCGCCGCCATCACAGGACACGACACGGGCCTCGACATCAGTCACACTTTCCTCAGCCACCAACTTGATGGCCCAGTTCGTATTGACCTAATAAAGACATTTCTACTATTGAAACCTTCCATTGTAATTTTTTTGGCCTCTTGTTTTATTTTTAAAATGTGACACTTTTCCACGGAGACTAATAAACAAACATTCACAATGGTTGACAGAATGACAGGCTATTCGCTTACAGGGTGTTGAGAAAGATATGGAAAAACATTTCAACATAGATTTCGAAATTGAAATTGAAGTCCAGAAAGTAAAAACCGCTGCTACAATTTCGCTCTCGCCACAGCTGTTTCTACTTAAGAGCTCGTTTACCTGTCAAATTTATTAGAAGCACCCGTGGCTTTAGTGTATTAGTTTTTGCTTTCTGGATCTAAAATTGACGCCTGCCGCCGAATAAAAAAACAAAACGAACGGCAAATAAACAAGTGCACTCTGCATTTCCGGAAATCCAGTGACAGTAAAAACATTGCACTGCATACATGGTATGATGATGTATGACGCCGAGTGGCATGTCTTACCTCTTTCTGTTTGCCAACGAATCTGACCCTCCTTGGGTCTTTTGCATCAAACACCTGCGCACAAAACACTTGAAATGTAAAAACCGACAATTTATTTTCCTCAAGACGTTTATTGTCACGTCAGAAAGTGTGTGTCCAATTTTAGCACGAAACGTCGATGTCGTTTGATAACCAGTATCGCAAACAACACACCGATAACAATAATTGTACACGACAAATATCCAGTAAACGTACCTGTCCAGTGTGTGTAATGGCCTCGCCGGTGCTGGAAACTTCCACACTGTAACGTTGTACGGGCACAGTAGAAAGCCTCGAAGGAGAAACTAACGCCTTCGTCGTTTTACTGAAGGACAACGCTCGAATCACAGCGGCCGCCATGATTGCAACAAATTTCTTCCCAAGATGCTCAGCGCAACGTATTTTCTTAAACCCTAAACATTGTCTTACAGGTATATATTTACACAAAAAGTCTATGTGTTTCAGAAACATCTGATTCACTACGGAAAATTTTCAGGTTCCATTATTCTATATTACTTACAAATTCATGTGATACTTTCTGTTTGAAGGAGGAAATGGCAAAGAAACTGATTATAAGACAAAACTCAGGGTGAATAAATTCGTTTCATAACCCGGAAATAGCTGCAAACTCCGGAGTTGACCCTGCAACGCGGTTGTTGTGGCGATCGAAACCCAAATTCTCTGGCATCTCTCCCTGGTTATTTTGTCGAGGAGCGACTTTAAGGTATTTCCATGTTATTTTGTTTGATACTACCCCACAGAGAATTTATACGATGTCTGGTCTGCGAATGATCGTCTCAGGCAAGGTCGGACACTTTCAGGCCATTTTATTAGGTACACGTCCACAAAACATTCGGATCCAACCCAGGAGTTACATCAAAAGCTACCTCTGCCTCACCAAGTTGTGAACCGGTTCTTATTAAATTAGTTTGCGCGGCGTCGTAAGAAAACGGCACAAAAAGATACGTTCATTTGCCGCCGTACTGACAGGTTTTCATTTGTTTATATTTATGGCAGATTTTTAAATACAAATTTGCCACAGGGAGGTAAACCGAGGACTCCGTGTATTATATGAACATTTATTAAATGTCAAATTTTAATATGAATACATTTAATCTTTTTTTTTCTAATTTCTTGACATTGTTTTAGACCTGGACCAAATGGCATCTCACCTCTTGAAGCAGCTGGCAGCCTCCTTGACTCGCCAGATGACCCAGATTAATCGGTTAAACTGGAACTATTTACCCGCAGTTGCTTCCTACCGATGTTTGTACAGTCTTAGCACGGTACCTAATTCTCAGTCATCAGCCAGAATCAGCCGCATCCAGCCTGCAGCGTGCGGACCGTCCTTGCTGGGGCAATGTCAGCATCTTCCCTGCATCCAACCCACTAATGGAATGAAAACAAAGTCTGCCTTGAAGAGACGCTGCAAAGATTGCTTCTTCGTGCGTCGAAGAGGCCGCTTGTTTGTGTTTTGCAAGACGCATCCGAGACACAAGCAGAGACAAGGTTGAAATGTGAAGTTTTGAAGATTGAGACTTTGCTACGACAATAAAATAGTTTGGTGACCACGCCCCCTTTGATCGTTACTTCGTGTTGTTGAAGATATATACACAAAAGATTACTGTTGGAATTTCAGGGTGGAATTTGTGAAAAAAATATCACCTTTATTTTACAACAACAGCTAAATTTGTGAAAAAAATATCACCTTTATTTTACAACAGCTACACTATGAGGAGTGACAGAGTGTAAAATCGGTCGAGGGCCTTTACATTCTGTTATTCATTCATTATTCCTTCACAAGGGGGAGGCAAATTGATTCCCCCGAGGGAGCTCTGTGGCCAGTATCTGGCAGCCACGCATTTATCTGATTTTTCACTTCCGTAATGTTGCCTCATATTTGTTTTTATCTGATCCTAACACCTTCTTTCAAGTCTGTCCCTAAATAAATTGCACAATATTCTATCTATCTTAACAATATGCATATTATTTGTAATGGTAATAATAATAGGCATCTTTGCCATTACCATGGTCGGTAAATAACAAACGTTGGAGACTGTAAATGCGTGTGAAAATGGGGAAATTCACGATTTCAACAGGGGACTAAAAATTCCACCGATGTACAGTATATCAAAGTGTTTTGAAATACTTGCGAACGTCACACGAACGTGTCAAGAAAGCAACGTATGGGCTGTCAGGGATATCAAAGTTGACGTTGTCAACGAAAGCTTTTATTTTGGAACCAGAACTTCACGTGTGCAATCTCGCGAGCTTGCTGTAATAGGACCTCTCGTTTCCTCCCGAGAGTCGCATCTCCGCACACGCGCAATTCTGCGCTCGCAGTCCTTTCTCGGCCGACAAAACAAAACGAGACGTTGAGACGCCTCACGCACAACACCAAGGAACGACTTTAGAGTAACATACACGAAGTTTTCACCGTTATTTGATCACTTTTTGGCTTGCGCGGGGCAGCAATGAACTCGTCGGGCATTCGACCCTCCAAGTGGTGCAGGAACCCTTTCGTTCATAGATTAAAATTCAGCATGGCAGACAAAATAAAGGTAAGTCCCCGCTTGTTTCTGGAATGTTTACTTGTTTCATCGGTGCACAAGAAGTTTACTACGACTTAGTGTGTCAGTGTATAACTGCCACCGGTCATTTCGCCTGCATGATGTGTTTACTACAATGCAGAACAAAGTGATTGTGATGAGATGTGCAGCTAACCCGGACATAATAAATCAATCTTTGCAAAGCCCCTTGATTTAGCTCGGTGCCAAGGAACTATGTTTTAGTGCGTTGAGGTACTTCATTTCGACAAAAGTCATGTTTTGCCATCATCTCGTGCCATCTTGATGTTGAGAACTGTTGAAGTGGAGCTTTTCATTTCGACAAAAGTAGTCCTATGTCACCATATTGTGGCCTCTTGCTGCCAAGAAACAATGTGAGTTGTACAGATTAAAGGTAACAAAAAAAAAAAAACTTTAAATGCTATTTAAAAATATCTACATTTTACTAATAGGTGACTTTTGAACAGTTGTGTGTCGACTTTTATATTTGTTGTGTACCACACTGTGTATTGTTGTTGCTAGCGAGTTCATGCAAATTGCCTCACCTTGCCAAAACTTGTTATGCACAATGACCACTGAGTAAACTGCAACTTGGACTCATAAAAAAAAAAAAGCCAATGTAGATGATGAAGTAATGACAAAAGGTCTAACTATAACACTCGAGGCTAAAAGGTCGCGCTCATGTTTATGGCGTAACAAGACAAGACTGGTACTGGCGAAGCAAACATGAACCTGAAGCCCCGCAGGATTCCACTGATGAACAGCTGCGCTTCCATCCTGAATCTAGCATAGCTTTGGGCGAGCGGACACTAAAACGCCTCGTCATCAATCAACCTATGGACCGATGGACACGCTCTTGGTGATGGATGGCTTCTGCTTCTGTTCTCATCTGACAGACCAGTAAAACAGCTCGAATCAGTCAATCAATACTTCAATTTGATCCATTGTAATCTGTCTTGATTTTCTTATTTTGAAAAGACTGGGGTCCTTCGCAAACGTTTAGAAACACACTCAATACTCAAGCAATTTTGTCAGTGCAGCAAGTTATTTTTTTATTTATTTTTTTGCTAGCCTCAGGGAGGTTTCTGCCTGCTTTCATTCCGCCCAAAACATGCCAAGTACAAAGGCTCGGTGAAAACAGCCTGACTGCCGCCGCTGTTATTTACCCCCATTAAGTTTCCACTGAGACAATTAACTTTTCCCTGCTTTCGTGGCAATAAGCAATGTTCTCGTTCTTGCGTTCGTTTCATTTAGTCTTCCCGAATTCTGCCAATCTCGCTAATGGAAGGTCGTTAGTGGGCGCTTATCACTGCCATTTATCCACGAGGCGTTTGAAGGAGCTTGTAAACAGCTTTGTTTGGACCAGATGACAGCAGGATACCCATAAATATAAACTAAAGATGTTCTGCTTCCCACTTCCCACTGATGCTGACTAATGTGGCGGTGAGGTGTGTTTTTCCACCTCAGACAAGAGTGTTTTACATAAACAAACATGACTTTATACTTGCCTTGGGCTTGAAAGATACATTGGAACCTCCAAAGCCAAACAGAAACTTTTTACAAGTACCACTGAAATGAACTTAAAGTTAAACACAATTGAAAGTACATGGGAAGTGATCCGGTCTTATACGACTAAAAGGAGCCCGAGTACCACTAGTATCACTAGGAGGAAATCCTGGAAATAGAAATAATCTGGTTCAGGGTCAAATTGATGCCAGCATGCCTCACAATCGAGAGGTCCCTGTTTGAATATCAGTTCAAGCCCTTCTGTGCCAAGCTAGCATGCTACGTTCTGTTTTCTCTGGGTGCTCTGGTTGTGCGCTGTAAAAAACAAAACAAAAAAAAGTGTTGAAAAGTGGAAACATAACATAATAAAATAAGAAGAACCACCGTTATTATAAAGATGTGGGCCTGTAAACAATCTAACACTCAAGTTCTGGCTTGTTGAAATAACTTCAGTGAATAACAAGGGTGTGTACATTTGCGCGTGAAGGCAACTCTTTTCACTCTTATTGTGACAACGTGCACAGACGCTGATCCAAAAAAAGCCAAACAAAAAGCAAAATGTGGAGGCTTTGCTACACTGAGCTCTCATGAGGTATGCAGAGTTGTCACATGCCATCATACAAGCGTCATACATGACATTCCGGGCGTCGCGACTTGAAGCTTTGCGAACTATGACAGGAAAACAGATCCTGCCGGATGCACGTGCACATTTTTTCCTCTGGTACTTTGTTGCAAGCAGAAATTTCGAACAAGCAGGTCAGGAAACTGACAGCAGGCAGACTGTAGAACTCATTCTAGCTGAGTCACACATTTCTTAGCAGTGCACATGCCGCTACGGCTGCCAGCTCCAGCTCAAACAAAACACGAAACATTTGGTGGAGCTGCGATGTCCCCAAGCAAGGCGGCCTTTTATCAAACAACAGCAGAAGCAAAAGCGTCCCCCGTTAAGCACTCTCGGGTCTCCTGAGATGAATATCTGATGTCAGATGCAGAATTCAGGTGGACCGTAACTTCAAGTGCGAAACACGTCGCAACCTGTTTCTCACAACAATTGGCGAGGGGAAACTCCCCACCCCCCTCCCCTGTGGTACACAGGGAGACATCAGATTTCCTCAATTTGAACCCACAACGGGACTTTTAAACTCTGTAAATCGCCCCAGCCGGCTAACCTGCTTTTTTTTTTCTTTTTTTCTTAAATATATGTTGAAGAGAGCAGGAATGTCGAGTCGTCGAGCAGGCTGAAAAATGCCACAACAGTTATTTTGCTGTCTCGAATCTTCAAGGCTTGAAATGGTTTAGAAAGTTACTTTCACAACAAATATTTTACACACTACTTCTGTTGTGCATGAATTGTGTGGGTGAATCTACAATTCCTCAGGTATTAAAAAAAAAAAATTGGGACTTTATTAAATATGTTTTCCACAGGGTGTGTGTGTGTGTGTGTGTGTGTGTGTGTCTCTCTCTCTCTCTGTGCATGTACTCCTCGTGCATGTGTGGGTTTTCTCCGGGTACTCTGGTTGCCTCCCACATTCCAAAAACCTGCACGGCAGGTTAATGGATCACTCTAAATTGTCCATAGGTGTGAATATGAGCGCGAATGGTTGTTGGTCTACACGATGCGTGCGCCGCGTTTGGCTGGCAACCAGTTCAGGGTGTACCTCGCCGACCGCCCAAAGACAGCTGGGATAGGCTGCCCGCGACCCTCGTAAGGCTAAAGAGATTAGAAAATGGATGGATGTTCTACCCCCTCCCGTGAAAATGTCAAGAGGATGCTCCCAGATGGATTTGTTCAGCTCTGATGCATCAGATCAGGCCCAAGTGGGGGTAGGGAGGCAGGAAGAAGAGTGATAGAGCGTCCTAAATCAACCTCATAACTGTTGATTTATTCATACAGGCCTGCAGTGTGCACCTGGGTTCCTCCAGAGATGGATAGAGGACGCTGGGATAGGGGCGGGGTAAGCTACGATTCCCCAAAGAGGCCACAAAATGCACGTCAATGCAAAGTAGCAGCAAGCCAGTTGAAGCCAGAGAGGCATCGTCAATGAAGGCGGCAGCTTGGGGAGCAAACAGACACGAGAGCGCCATTGACCGATGGCCCGATTGGAGGGAAGCTCCTCCGAGATGGGAGATGACCGTGACGCGGGCCGGAAGAAGTTCAATACGAGATGGTTCTGGGAAGAAGGCGCAAGAAGAAGAGACGGGGACAAGGCAGGAAAGGGTTTGAAATGCCACAGGGTGACACTTGCATGGCGGGGTGGGGGGGGAGGGGGAGGGGCCTTCACTACCGTCACCCTGCTTAAATGCGCACCAGCGCTACGTGTCGGAATACGGCGAAAGAAAATCTGATTTGTCATCCTCATTTCTGCCCTGGTCGACCCTCATGTTACTTGTCCCATATGACCAGTGGGTGGTTTCCCCCTTGCAAAATGTTTGCTAAGGGCTTTCATCTCCGTTGTCAACGCTTCCACCTCAATTATTCAAACTGTATATCTGAATTATTCATATTCGCATGTCTGAATTATTGGTATTCTATGAGGTAGTCAAATGTGACTGTCAGATGGGATCAATATCTGGATTCCGATTCATTATTAGCGCGCACTGTTTATGCTTTCCTGTTTGACAGCATTTAATGTATTCCCCATTTTCAAATGGAGTGGTTCGATATGTCGTATGATATGGAATGTATCGGTACGCATGCACCGAACGCGAGTACTATTTCTTCTAAAAGTCACAATCTTTTTTATCCCCCCACAAACTGCTTTTTTGGGGACAGTTGAAAATGCTCAATGTAAAAAAAAAAAAAAGTTGAATGTCAGTTCATGTTCGAAAAGTCCAACCAAAATATTCTATAAAATTTTAAATGAAAGTCGAAATTGGCTTTCGTGCATTTCACAACAAAGAAATAACAGCTGACAGAGCTGCTGCCCCTTCTATTGCTTTTAAAAACATCCAATTTTCCATTTGTGCACAAAATCGGAAACTGGAAAATGAGTCAATTTTGTTTTTTGGACACAAATAGTGACAAAAATAAGTCAGTGTTTTTTTTTTTGTTTTTTTTTTCTTTTTACTTCCCATTTGTTTTGAACAACGAATGACTGAATGGGACACAGATTTGCGAGCGTCTCTTTATCTTTTTTAGACTGGACCTAAGTGAACGCAACGTGCATTTATTTGAAGTGTGCGCAGACATTATGAACCACAATTTGAAAAGATCATATTTTTTTCTTATGATCTTAGCATTTCAAATCTCACCATTATTTTGTGGTACACTTACTGATTTCTGTGCGAACTGTTTTTCCCGCCTTTCGATCCGGTGTTGCTCTGCGTATCTCCAACCGCCCCCTGGGGACAGAAGAATTCTGTTGACATGAATTGGACGCTGTTTGGAGTGTCGCTGTCGCAGAAGTATGACTTGGGTGTATAGCACAGCGAGCAGATTTCAAAGAGCTCTACATGTGTTCCGATGATTTTGCTCCGGAAGGGCGAAAGGGTGAATACGCAAAGCGCACGCAGGAGTTCTTCGGCCGAGATTCATTGCGTCAATGTATGGCCGGTTTTCAACTCCTGTTATGCAAATACATCTAATTGCTCTTAAAAAAAATTGTTACGGACTCGAGGGCAACCGAACCCTATTAATGTGCCGTGTTTAATGAATTTGTACATCTAACCGAATCAAATCCTTATTTCCCTTGTGTAATGTTGCTGTGCTCCCAGTGTTAATTAGCGTCCGCATTAAGCCATTAAAAACCCTGGCCCATGGAACAAAGCGCGACTGTCTGTGTGGATTCAATTGGGAGTTAGCCGTTTCCCTTTCAACCGAACTAATGGCATGTGTGCATCCTTCTCGGAATACGGAGGAATGTCCAAGTGTGCCTTTCAGCCTCAAAGGATGTCCTGTGCGACTGCCCGAGCGGGATTTGTTGCATTTGCGCTCACATCATCTCTTTTCCGTTCTGTAGATTGGATTTATGTCTGTGACGGTGTTTCCAGTTCGACTACTTGCCGTGTCCTTCCTCATGCTGCTGGCCTGGCCCTTCGCCTTCGCAGCCTCGCTGGGACGCTCGGAATACGTTGTGGAGCCACAGTCATGGTGGAGAAGGTGTGCGCCTTCACAGGCACAGAATATTTATTCCTCACATCTTGTTTGGGTCTCATTTGACCAGTTTTGACAGCAATAAAAACAACCTAAATGTCATTTTTAAAGCCTGAAATTGGATTAGATTTCCTAAAGAGACCCCAAAATGCAAACAAATGAAAATTAAAAGACTGTTTAGTCCGAGTCAGAGTCAACTTTGACCTGTATCTACTAAAATGGATTTCAGATTTATTAACTGGTCTAGAATTGCCCCCCCCCCCAAAAAAAAATCATGCAGCCCTACTTTGATTTATTTTCATGTTATTTTTATCCAGTCGGTTTACATCAGTCATGTAGTTCAAGATCAGCGGCTAATGACTGAACTTAGCAAGCGTGCGTTAGCCTAGCCATGACCGTATTGTCTAAAAATAGCAGCCGTCCGCAGGTAATGTTCGCGAAGATAATACTGCATTTAAAAAAAAACAATAGAGTGCTAGTTTGTTCAATAACAAACTGGTGCTGACTTTTATTGGTCGCGCAACACTTTGCACACTTCCCGATGGTGGTTCAAGCATTTCAACAATTATCAACGGTTCATCCGGATATTATTATTATTATTATTATTTTGATGAATATGACTGGATCCATCATGATGTACTCGTTTATTGTATCCTTGCCAGTTTCATCGACCTCTCCCTGCGCGTCATCATGCGGGCCATGTGGTTTTGTGGAGGCTTCCACTGGATTAAGGTGAAAGGCGAACAGGCGGCGCCCTCCGAGGCCCCCATCATCACCGTGGCACCGCACTCCTCCTACTTTGACGCCATCCCAGTCACCCGCACCATGTGCTCCATCGTCACCAAACTGGAGAGTGGCAGTATTCCCGTCTGGGGCAGTGAGTCACACGCTAGACCTAACTTCCAACTTGACAGATACTTCCATTTTATTTTATTTTATTTTGTCTCCTCAGCCTTGATCAAGTACATCAGACCGGTCTTTGTATTCCGCTCGGACCAGGACTCCAGGAAGCGAACTGTTGAGGAGATCAAGAGGAGAGCGCGCTCTGGAGGGGAGTGGCCTCAGGTAACGCATTCAAATCCCACTTGGCTATTTTCGATGTGAAATCGATGCATTTGTTTTTTGGAAATCTAGATGATGATATTTCCAGAGGGGACGTGCACCAACAGGTCAAGCCTCATCTTGTTCAAGGCGGGTATGGATAACTTTTTTTACTCTACAGGTTCTATAAGCCAGATTTGTTTCGGTCTCGCAGCCCCCCCCATCCAATTAATTCTGATTTCATACTCAACAAGCAGGCAGACACTTCAGAGCCCCAACTGTTGTATATGAGCAATACAAATTTCAGGTGTTTATCTTTTAATTCTTCGTAAGCTTTGACTTGGTATATTTCTGCCTGCCTGCCTTCGGATCCAAATTCATTTTTCCTCGACGCCGTGTGTCACATCAGGAGGTCACTTCAACCAAAACGGCGCGGCGCACAGTTTATTCACGAGCATATTGTAATCCCTTCGCTTCCTGTGTCCGACCGTGTTTTTGCTGTCAGCTACTGTCCCCTCCTAATCCCCGTTTATTCCACTCTGTAATTCCATTGGTCGATTCTATTGTGTAGATTGTTTGGCGGTGTGTTTTTGTCTGCGCGCTCGTCGAATGGTGGCTGATTCGTTGCCTCCTCTGTGCTTCGCCAGGGGCCTTCATCCCAGGACTCCCAGTGCAACCGGTGGTCTTGCGATACCAAAACAAACTGGTAAATATCTTTTCACAGTAACTTTCGGATCAGGGTCAAATTAAGTTCAGGCACAAACTGGAACACACTTCTTGCACATGCACACGCGTGTGATGCAATGGTTTCTCGTCATGTCCCTCTTTTGTTGAATGACTTCAATGTTCTGGTAGGATGATATTTCATCCTGCCCTTTCGTCATTTACCCATCTCTATGGCGAATACACACACGCACACACAAACTCACACAGACAGCCGTGCGCACATGCGCACACAGGTGTCACGTCTCTAAATTCCCCACTCCTCATAAAATATAAATGACTTACTAGCCAGCAGATTCCCTCGAAATTTCTTGAGTTTTCTGATCTCAATGACTATTGTTAGATGCTAAACACACATATGTATATTTAGTATTGTGGCTTGTTGAGTTTTATTTTTGTCCATCCTTCGGGCAATTGTTTGCTTTGATTTGTGAGCAAAAACAAAAATGCCAGACAAGTGCTCTCTGGTGGCAGTGAACTCAACTCACTTCACATGAAGAAGCAGTTTGACAAATATGAACAATCCTTCAAGAGGTCAAGGTCAAGGGTCCTCAAGGAAGCAGTTTCATCCTTTACATTCTGTTTAATCAAGTCATCACTACGTTTTTTTAAAGTATATTTTCCTTCTTAAAAGACACATGACTAAAATAATTTTGGGCGGGAGGCGAAACCAGATGAATGGCGTTTCCATTCGTTTGAGCGGAGGAGGGTGATTTGAGTTATAACTATGGGCACGGAGCGCACGAGCCTCGTATCTGAAGGCGCCCCTGTACTCGTTTTCAGTAAACCATTGCTGTGACATGTATTCCTAACGTTTGTGTGAGAAACCGCGTTTCGGCCGATAACTCGTCTCAACATGCGATCCTCTTGAGCCGCTCTGCTTAGATGACATTTAAACTAGTCTGAAGGAGTGAAAGCCTTGAAACATGCACATTAGTTCATTTCACGGCTTATCTATTCTCTTTCAAAACGACTACATTTTTTTTTTTTTTAATTTACGAACAGGCATGTTCATTTTAAGCAGCTTGAGATCAAGGTGGGCCCCTTTGTAACCAGAGATCAATGTGAAACCGGTGCCCTCCACCCTAACCTACTTTCACACCGTTAAGACCACAGTCGCATACAAAAAGCGGCACAGTTTTCTACTCTGGCCTTCATTTAAAAAAAAAAAAAAAAAAAGTGTCAATGTTTGTCATTTCCTTTCTCCGCTTCCCTTCCGCAGGATACAATCTCATGGACGTGGCAAGGGCCCGGAGCGTGAGTGGAACACACCAACACAAACAGCACCGCAAACTGCAGTACACACAGCTTCGACTTCTTCTGTCAAGAGCCGAGCCCAAAAGGAATGCGACACCGTGTCGCGAACCAACCAGCTGTTCATTGACTTGCGTGTCGTTTTTGTTTTTCCTTCATGCTCGTTTCTATAAAACCGCCTTCGCTGTCTCCCAGGTTCAAGATCCTGTGGCTCACTCTGTGTCAGCCTCACAATGCCATGGAGATCGAGGTGAGGAGTTTTGATTGGAACGCAGCGGACGGTGACACGTTTACTCGGCTGACATTCTTTGCCCTCAGTACTTGCCAGTTTATACTCCATGCGACGAGGAGAAAGAAAACCCAACTCTGTTCGCCGGCAATGTTCGGAAACTCATGGCCAAGTGAGCGCGCATTTACGAGTGCCGCCACATGCTTGTTTTTTTTGGTTTTGCTGGCTTACCTTCCGCCGCCTTTGCCCGACAGAGCACTGGGGGTGCCGCTCGCCGATCTTTCCTTTGAGGACCGAGACATCACGTTTTCCGAGGGGCCCCTGCGCATCCACGACCCCAGCAGCCTGCTCGAGTTCAATCTGCTGGTGCGCCGCTTGGGGTGAGTCGAGGCCACGTTGTCTGGGTGCGCAATCGATGGGAGTCAGGATGGCGCTGACATCCCCTGGTGCTGCAAGAGAAACACAGCAAATCGAGACCGTGAGCGTGATTGGTTGCGTGTACCGTAAACATTCGCAGTGCGGTGAAGCCGTTTGTCGCGGGGGATTTGTTGCAGGCCCATCTGCGATCGGTGAAAATCCTCGATAGAGCACAAGTGTTGCATTGTCACTGGTAACCGAGGCATTTGCGTTGCTCTCCTTGTACCACCAGGCTAAAGATCACAAACGGCCTGCTGAAGGAGCAGGCCAGCAGAGCCAGGAAGCTGCTAAGACATCAGTTGAATTTAGAAGACCTGGCATGCTTCCTCCACCTGCCTGTTACAAATACACTCCGAGAAGTTCTCAGCCTCTTTGTCAAGGTAGAGGGAGGATCACTTCAGCATAAAGTATTCATGAGCACGCATGAGGCTCAAAATGTAACTGGTCTACATTAAAAAAAAAACGGGCTCAATTGGATATTATCCAATCATTTTCTTTGAATACAAGACTGTATCAAATAGTATGCCCTTTACAAAGGGAATGCTACTTAGTTTTTACTCTGGTTTTAATTGCCGTTTTTTTTTGCTCCCTCTAGTGGAGAGTCTGTAGATGGCAAGAACTCCATAAGTTGAGTGATAAGCCTTTTAAGATTTAATGTGTAAAGGAGACATGCATTTTTTTTCTTCTTCTCAATTTCAAACGGTTCCCATGAGATGTCTTAATAACATGTCTGTCACATGCTTTTGCCCCAAAACACCACTGGTCAAGAAATGCAACATTTGATCAGTGTGTGCTCAATCCTGTTTATTTTATCCAGGATGAAGAGGGACACATAGACATCAGACACTTTGTTATTGCCATGTCCACTATTTACCGACCATCCAGGTCAATGGAGACCCTCAAACTGGCCTTCGAGGTAAAACCCCGTTGCCCATATCCGCTTCGGTGTGTGCGTCCTGCGTATGTATACACACATTTCTGATGTACTGCATTAAACTAGCCCGGTTTCATGCGCAGATGTACGAGAACGAGGACAGCGGCGAGGTCCATGAAGACGAGCTGGCCTCCGCTCTGGAAATCATGTTAGGAGTGAAAGAAGTTGAATTATCCATGTTTTTTATGGAGCTCGACGGACCAGACAGTGGGAAAATCACCTATGGTAAGAACGCTTTCGATTGATTATCGTGATGGTACTAATGCTCTTTGCCTTTTTTTTTTTTGTCCAGACAAACTTCGTCGTTTCATCGAGCAGCATCCGCGCTTTGTCCACGACTACCTCGACTTCAAAGACCACCCACGCAGATCCTGCGTCCGCCGATCCGACGCTTGCAATGGTCAGAGCCACGACAAAGATAACTGAAAACAACAATTCAAGACACATATTTCTCTTTTCTTCCTTGCTCTGGGATGCAGCACCTCTGCCACATTAAGTACCCTCGCAGCAAGCGAGGGTGGGATGAATAAACACTGAGCGGGATTACAAACAAGTGGCCCGGAAGGCTTTGCGGAAGTATCGGAAGCACCTTGCGTCATTTTCTCTCTCGCTCGATGAGATTTCTTTGACAAGTCGACAAACGGTTGTTTTTAGATACAAGTGTTTGATGTACTGTTCTTTGCTAGTTCTTAAAAGTGGATACAAATCGGATTGATATTTCTAGGGGAAACGTAAAAGAGGGCCCAGTCGCTACCTTGTAAAAGAAGTTTTTAAAATGTTGAGATTTGTTTCATTTGGTGTTTTCCTGCCGGTTTGGTGCAAAAGTACACAATTAGAGCTTTCCTTTGGCCTTTAAGAGATTTACAGTTTAACAAAGGCAACAACACTGCTCAAGTATTTTTATTTTTTGAATGGATCTTTGCGTTTTATATCATGAAAAGGCACAATGTTCAACAAGAGTCTCAATGAAATGTATTTGTTTTTACTAAAAAGACAAAATGCTTCTGAATGTGTTGGGTGTTCCCTCTAAGCAGAATGACCTCACCATTTACATCCGCTCAATACTTGGCACGCACACGCGTAATTGTTTTGGTTTCATTTGAGTCCACATGGGGGCGCTGCCTCACCAAATCCGCTTCACGCGAGACGCGCACGACTGCCCACCTGATGGACAGGAAAAGCATTACCTCATCCCCTTCCTTTCATTCCTCCAGGTAAAAATAGACAGATTAAGCCTTGGCTTTGATGAGAGAAGCCTACAGAGGAGGTGTGGAAGCAAGTGAGAGCGCGTGGGTGGGTGCCGGGTGGGGTGCAGATATCACGTCGAACAATTAAGACCTGCCTTGAGGGTCCAAAGAAGACGCTTTGATGAGAACGTATAAATTGCTCGGCGAGCAGCGCCTCTCCGGAGTCTCCCTCAGATACTCCCGCCTCAAAGGAATCTGCAATAAAAGACGGCCGCCTGCAGCCCAACACACTGGAAGGCGCGATCGTGTTGACAATATTTGGGGAGCCATCTCGCCAAACGGCGTCTTGGCCGAATGGTAAACAGGAATCGGATTGCAACCCCGCTGATGAGCCCGTGCGGTAATTGCAAGGTCAAAGATCACACACTTGCTCTCTTTTAATGAGTTGACTCGCGCGAATTGTTCCCTGAAATCTATCATGGGGCTCCACAGTAAAAGGGGGTCTATATTCTGCATGTTTATACAGTGGCTGGGAGGCAGCGTGTTGCCATTACAGTTTGGTGGGTGATGTGGCTACCATGACAACGAGACTGACTCTTTTGCCAAGTGTCAGTTTTGCAAACCCAAACTCTGGTTTGACGGTGCATACTGTACGTAAACCGTACAGTTTGTGCTTTACAGCCTATATTGACCCATTAGAAAAATCTGAGGGCACACCACAAAACGAAAATAGTCTTCATTCCTCAAATAATCGTCTCAATGAACTCAAATGGGACTTTTGACATTTGGCACGTGAACGCAAAGCTATTCGGGTGTACGAATGGCACACGGGTTGATTCTGCAATCTCGTGGAAGAGCATTTTTCATATTTTGTCAGCCTCTTTCTCGCGGTGCCTGAAAACGAAAGTGACTCGACGTGCAAGTTCTTTGAAATGCTTCGACCGGCGAGCCATAATTCACAACAAGCAACTTTTTTTTCGCAGATATACAACACAAATAAAACTTGTATCTCAAGGCGCCACTGTGTTAGTTTTCGACTTGCGCTCATTCATTCCCCACAGCCCTCAAGGTCCTTCAAGAGCGCAAGTCGTGCTGAGCCGATGGGCAAACCAGATTGCAATTACAAGTTTGGCGGGACTTGATGAAACCCGGAAGGCGTTTTCGGACAACTTTTACAACGGCGTGGTATTTGTGCCCTTAGCCAAAGTCAAAAGTCAATTTCTACTTTCTGTTGTTTTTTGGTAGCGACTCCATCATCCCGGTTCCGAATAGAATCTCTGCATCGCCTGTGGAGCTTTTGCACTCTTCTTTGGCCTTTTGGCCTCACACCACAGACAAGATTCCTAGTTATCTTGCCAGGGTTGTGTAAGCTGCCAGCTCCCAAAAATGGAGCAATGTAGGTGTTGGGAGAGTCACTTTACATATATTCATGATGCATCCAGTATTTTTTGTTTTTTTTTTTTTAAATTCACATCCCTGTGTATGTTCATATCCTTGACACCACCTGTCACATGCTACGACAAAGGAGCGAAAAGGAACATCTATGGTATTTACTTTTCTACAAGCAACCAGTAACGATCCAGCAAGCCCCAGCATCCTCAGTGAAAAGCTGCCAGCGAATGATGACCAACGTTAAAATATGAATCAAAAATGAGCAAGCGGTTTCATTCCGAAAAAAGATTTTGTAAGCTACTGCAACATTAATACTACTTAATTATACTGTAGGAAAATGACTACACTTATTTAAATCATGTTTCGATTAAAATGTACCTAAATGAATGCTTTTAAACGAAAGAAAACATTACTGAAAGATTAAATCCAACGTCTTGAACTTAAAAGTTAAATACAACTGAACTGTCACTATGGCAGTGATTCTTTTGTGCCCACTTGAGTAAGTCAACACTGATGAAGCCGATGAAACTCTTTGCCAAAGACTTGGCATTAAATCGATATTCTTGGGTCTGTGAAGTCCGTTAGCCCTCGGAAACGAGCAAGCAAGCGGGGCGACACGAGCGCGTAGAGATGGAGCGACGTCAACGGGGTAAGATTGTGGATGAAAGGGTCAAGGCGAGTAGCCAGAACACAAATCACAACTTTACTTGGAATGGGGGAAGGCCGGAGGGGGGGGGGGTGCGATTACAAGCGAGCAAACACGATGGAGAGCGTGTCATGACGAGCGGGATCTGGCTGATGGCTTTCGTGTGGTTGGGAAAGAGTAACGTGAGGAAAAGGATGTTCATGAAAAATGGTCAACACAGGGATGAGATACCCTAACCTTGGACTGAAATACAGTACTGGCTGTTGATGTCATTGCTTTTGTCAATTGTTTCATCACGCAAAGGTTGACCGGAAGCTCTGTTATGCTCTCAAGTGGCGTAAAAGAAAAAAAAAAATGATGTCACAGCATAGCTAAACATTCCTCGATCTTTGCCGATAGTGTCTCGTGCAAAGATAAGAGATGATGTATCGTCTATTGTCCTCCTTTCGACTCAATGATAGCATCACATATGCAGTTTGTTGGGGAATTTTGGTGTTAGAAGAAGAAGGTCGGCACCGCCTCACTTGCCTCCCCTGACCGACAGAGCCACTCTTTCCTTATTTTTAACTGCCAGTTGAATAGAAAGGATCATATAATGAAATAGATTGGCTATATGAAAAAGTCATCAATCTACCTCAAGCAGGTTTTGTCCCGTTTCAATTATTTTTTTGGTCAGTTTTGGTCAACGTCGTTAGTCACTTTTTTGTTTTCACTGACAACATTCCGCACATTCTGCCTGCTGTCGAATCGTACGACGGGTTTGGTGATGCTGATTAGAAAGCGGACGCCGCTCCAATTCATCACATCCCATTTGCCGCCTCCCATCCCGCCATCCCGTTGCCAAATGGACAGGCCTGTCAGCGGGATTGAGGCCTGGGTGAATACGTGCGCGTCCGTGCCGCCTTCAGTGCAGCCATAATTACCTCTGTCTGAGGGTAACCAACAGTGGCGGATCTCATTATGCCATGATATGGGTCGCGTCTGCATATACGGGCGCAAATACACACGCTCATTTACATTTGAATGGGGAGTTTTTCACACGCGCGCGAGAAGGCGCGCGGCCGTCTATCCGAGCCGCCCACGTGTGCACACAAACACGGCATTTACATATAAAAGCGTTAATGTGCGACACACAAGTGACATCGCGCACACACACACACACACCCGGCAGCCTATTTGTACGAGCACATACGGGCTACTCATAAATTTAGACACTTCTGTCAGAAGGCCCTCGCTAGCAGACAGGGATATGAACCCAATATAGCAGATAGAGATAAGCCGGTGACTCTGGAAGCAGAACTAATATTATTTGCACGGTGTCGAACGTTTATCAGGCGCCGCCTGCAAAGTGATGGTTCTGTGTCACTTTTGTTTAATAATGATGTGCCAATAGTAATATGCCTGCTGGCTGGAAACCCATTACAGTTCAAAAGATTATCCAAATACAATCTAATTTGGAATATTGCATTTTGACAGCCTGCGACTAGAGGAGGTGGGATGGTTATGCGATATTTTCTTTCCTTTAAAAAAAAAAAAAAAAAAATCCCAATTAACTTTAATGCTCGACAAAGAGATGGCCGCCGCAAACGTGTTTGACTATTGTCAAAGCTCTTGTTGGTTTCAGACAAAGAAAGAAACTTTTTGCTTCATGCAAACTTTGGATTTGGTAAGCGTCACGCTTGGTTTGACATCCGATTGGCAAAGAGAGATCATCCATCGATGGTTTGAAGAAAGAAAAAAAAAAAGAAGAAAATGTTTAACTGCTTCCACACTCATCATTCTTATCGGGAACAACAAGTTGCCCCGTGGAGTCTCATCAGCCTCCTGGGGCTTGATAATGAGCTAATATGCAAATGAGGCTCACTCATATGCAACTTGGAAATGTAAATACTTAATGGTAATTACCTCATAGTTTCATGTCATTGTCATCTCATAACCAATACGTCAATGATGAATGGCTAAATCAATTTAATGGATCCTAATTGTGATCTTAAGGGGGATTTATTTCATTTAAAAAAAAAAAAAATCATCATCTTTGGATTTGCTTTTATTTTATTTGTGTCCAGAATGAAATCACAACACATTTAAGAGCGAATGTATCACTTTGAGGCTGCATACAAATATATCAGGGAGACCAACGAGCATCATGAAGTGCCATGAAGTCATCAGTCCTCTCGCCCAAAATCAGCTGGCGGGAGGCTCCAGTCGACATTTCACTCGACTTTGTAACGTGTTCAAGCGGAAAGTGAAAATGAAGCGCGTTCCAAGCTATAAATATCGGTGATGTCGCTTTCCTAATGAGGCTGATCAAACTGGGTGTCGTCAACCCGACTGCATCGCCATTCATCTTCACGGCTTCATCACACACGGACTCATCAAAGGCGTATTGGTCATAGAATGAATGAGTGATAAAGAAACGTCATCATGCCACGCTGGCCGCACACACGTCAGGCGAGCGGGTACTTAAAGGTTTATAAAACATCGCTGATTTCATTTTGGGTTTTTTTTTTTTTTTTGTGCTACCCAAAGTCTCCTCCGAGCCGGACAGGCCTGC